TTTTTTTTTTTTTTTTCTTTTTGAGTGTTCCTGTGGATCGCAGCAAAGCTTGTGTCGTTGTTATAAGCCATACTAATTCAGTATTATAGAGTTCTGCATTTCCCTTTATTTCCTTTTTTTTTATGTATGCATTTGTTCTTGCTGAATGTCCAACTACGCCGAATTCCATTCTTCATGTTTTCAACACTCTTATGTTTCCCTCTTTCTCAGTCATTATTTATTTTTATTTTTGTATGTTTGCTATTTCTTTTTTTTTTTCCATTTTCGTTTTTTGTTTTATTATTATCTTGGGGTGGGAGAAAGAAGGCCATATCCAACAAAGTACACGCACACACGATAAAGGTCCAAGAAGGTTAAGAAGAAAAAAGAAAAGGAAAAAAAAAAAAAAGACTTCATTCTTGAATGAATCGTTCACCGTACCGATACTCAAGCAACAATACCGTTAACTCAGGAACACCTTGGCGACGTCGAGGATCGAATCATGCAAATTTTGATTATAGGGAGAAAAGTAGAAGTAGTTCTTCTCCTTTAAGAAGAAGAAGATCCATTGACAGGAATGGTTATAGCAGTTTCAGTTCCCGTGAAAATACGGTGAGGGATTTTGGTGGTAAAGATGACCTGGATATCCAAGTGGAGCGTGTGTTTGGCAGCACTGTTCTTTCTGTAGGTGACATTGTGGGGTATGAACTTGTGTCGAATGATGGAAAGTGGATGTGGTCTATAGGTACTATTCTTTCTTTTGGATCTAATGGCGGTGGTGGTAGTGCTGATAAGAAGGCAAGACGCGGAAGCGGAGCTGTTTCCAGTGGAATGGAGCCAAATTTCATGTCCATCGTCTGCTGGACGCTGAAGGCGGATGCGTCTGAGCGGCGTCCATCGCGTCCGGTGGGTTCACGTCTCGCGGCGAGTGACGGTCGATCGCTGCGGGCGCTGCGCCGCCGGCTGGACGAAATCGCGCGGGCGAAGTCGGCACTCGCGCGGGTGCTGCACGCCGAAAATGTCGATCGCCGCCTGCGGGCCGCCGATGCCGTGCGGGAGTCGCTGCTGCGGCTGGACGGCCGGCGGTGGGCGGAGCTGCTGGCGCTCGAACGGCCGACGGCGACGGTGCGGGTGGCGGTGCGGGCCGTCTTTGCGCTTCTCCGCATCGAACTGCTCGCCGAGACGGAAGAGGAAGAATGGGAGCGGCAGCGGCGGTTCATCGCCACCGATGCGTTCCGCCGTTTACTCGCAGACGCCGCCGCCGCACGGGTGGCAGGCCCAAGTATCCCAACACCACAAATCAATATCAACGTAATCACCGAATCCAAAACACCATTACCGGCAGTAGTCGAACTCATGGTACAATGGATAGAAAGTGAATTGAGACTCGCAGAGGCACGGGCCTCTCTAGAAAAAGTGGATATCCAACTTAAGGAGTTACAGTCTGCAGAAGAGGAAGTGGGACTCGAATTGCGTTGGAGAGAGCGTAGTACGAGCAACAAAAGAGGGAATGATAGTATTAAATACAACAGTGATAATGCTGGTGATTATAATGATCTCGCGAGTGACAGTTTTGATTATATTGACGATTATGGTGATAAAACTGCTGAAGATGAGATGGATGAAGAAAATGATGAAAAATACATACGTGCTGTCGTTAAGAGTTTTTCAGAACACGGTCGTGTTTTATTTGTGAGAGGTAGTGATACAACTTTTGTGGTCCAGTCTTCAGTGTTTTGCAGATTTGCGGGACGTGGAGTGGAGCCTATGTTAGATAGTTTGGTGATACATCGAGAGCGTCTTGTACGTATTCGTGACGCTGCTCTTAATAAACACAGACGTGTATCAACTAATACTTCCACAGTCAATGGAGGAGGTAGGAAATTGACACATGAGCAAAGCAATAAATTATTGGATGCAGCATGTCAAATAGAGGTAATGTATGAACAGTCATTTAGACGAGAACGTCTCATGGTGCGTGAATTGGAATCACTATATGAAAAACATATCCAATACACAGATGCACAGTTACGACTTCTTCGTCGTTCTTTAGCGGCTAAAACTTCTGCTGCAGGTTCAACAAATATGCAAAACACAGTAAGTGTAATGGAACTAACTGCTGCTCATAATAGGGTTAAGGAGTTAGAAGAAACTCTTCGAGAAAAAGAACAAGAGTTACGAAATGTACAGGCTAAACATGATAAAGCAATCAAAAAAGTTCAAGATCGACTGATCAGAGAAGCAGGAAAAGGAGAAGTATATGAACAAACTCGACTCTCAGTCTCAATGTTTCAAAGATTTCGTTTGGAACATGAAGAAGAAGTTATTCGCCTACGTATATCATCAGATGAAGCTAGTCAATGGTCACTCCTTCTTATGCATGAGTTGGGAGGATCAAAAGATCTTGCTATTGCTGATATGAGTCAAAGGTATCTACAAGAAGTAGGATCATTACAAGAAGAACTAAAGAATCGTGAAAAGCGTCAGTTAAAAACAGCTTCTATTCTTAAAAAATCTCTTAAAAATAATAATTGGGAGAGACAACGGCAACGACAAGAAAAAGAAGAACACCTAGTAGATGATGAAGAACAACAAAGTGGAGAAATAGCAACCATGTTAGCAGTAGAACGAGCACTTCATATTCTCTGTGGTACAGATTCTCTTGATACATCTATGGAAACACTTCCAACTCTTCAATCAGAAGATCGTGCACAATATAAGAAAACTGGCAAACGAAGTTTACCTAATCAAGGTGGAGTATTCAAAAGATCAAATACAGCGAAACAATTTTCTCCTATACATGATGAAGAAAAAGATCATGATGATGTTGTTATTTTAAAGGATCGTTTAGTTGAAGCCATGCAAGAACGTGAATTAATTCAGGAAATACTTGCACGTGAACAAGAAAGGAATCGTCTCTTAACAGAAGAAGGAGAAGCACTACGTTCAGAATTACTACAAGAGGTTGAACGTCATGCTGTATTGGAAGAAATGGTAAAGAATTTACAAGGGGAGGTTAGTGCAATGATGGGATCTATTCGATCTGCTTCTTCTTCTTCTGATAATATAAAGGGTCCTAATGGTGAAAATACTGTGAATCGACGAAATTGGCAATATAGGCAACGTGATACTATCGCAAAGCTTCGAGCTATTATTACTATGTATGATAGACAATTATCAGAGTTACTTGAAGAAGAAGGATTAAGTAATGATAATAATGATGATCTTATTGATTATAATAATAATGAAACTAAAGTTTCTACATTACTTAATACTTCATTTTCATCCTTAAGAAAATATCTTGCACGATTAAAGGAAGCCTGTGCAGTAATGCAGGCAGAACGGGATGCCCAAGCCGCAGATGCCAATATGTTGGAGTCTTATTTAAAAACAGCAGCGGATGCATTAGAGAATGCCCTTGTACATGATGAACGCTGGCAACCACGAACAACGAAATCCAATCATACCACTTGGCATTGTAAAACATTCCCTGGAGATGATTGGGGACGTGTTATTAATGAAACCCCTGAAGCTCTTTCAAAGGCCCTTGTACACGATATAGTCTCTGCCTGTCACTTACCAGATGAATACGTATTGAATCTCACATATTCGGATGAAGGTTCTATGCTTCGCGTCTCATTTGATCTTCGTCATGATCCTTCCATTACAGCTGAAGAAATTGTTCGTCGTCTAAATGAGTGTAACTTTTATCAATTGGAGAAATTGTACGCACGTCGTTTTGCCCCAGAAGAAGGTATTGATACACTGAGAAGAGAATTACGTGAAAAGAATGAAGAAATGCGCAGACTTCGTGAAGTTATTTCAAGACTTCGTAATGGTTCGAGTGCATCATGGAGCACAACTAGCGTACTCTCTTCACTTGATGTGTGATTGAGAAAACGAATAGCTATGTCATTTTGTTTTTCACTAATAGTATTTGAAAGATGTTTATCTTTTTTTTTTTGTTTTGCTTACTTGCTTGTGGAAGACTTTTTAGAACTACCTCCTGTTGTCTTGTTTGGGATGAGCTTGTTGTGCAAAACTGCATACCAGCAGCAGTTCTATTTCTTATTTCGATAATGATAGGAAAGGATAATTTAAGAGAATTTTTTCTTTTTTTATGTGAAGGAATCAATGGTAGGTGTCTGCGACAAGAAGAGAAAAAGGAAAAAAAAAAAAGAAAAGAGCAAAGAGAAATGAAAATAAGGCAAACGAAGCAATTAGAAAGGAGGAAACAAATGGGCGGAAATCTTTTTGTTTTTTTGTGTAACAAAAAGAGAAGGAAATCTATGTAAAAAAAAAAAAAAAATCAATCTTTTTCCGTTATTATTATTATTATTAGTATTATTATTGCTCTTATGTATTTTCATATGAGTTTCCTTTTCTTTTCTTTTCTTTTCCGTTTTGGTGTCTCTAGTTACTTGACCCTAATTGTGAGGGAAGTATTTTATATATTTTTCTTTCTTCCTTTTAAACCATTTTTGTTTTGCCTGTGATATGCTTTGCTGTATAACATGCTCTTTGCTATTGTTTACACCTCCGTTGTTTTTTTCTTTTTTTTTTCGTTCCGTCGATAACTCAGCCCTCATGTCAGTGCAGTTTTTACACAAGTTGATTGGACACATATATATTTGCAACTGATTGCTTTTATTGTTGTTCTTTGCTGTATTGCTCTGAGACCACTTTGGTGAATTCGTTCTGTGACGAGATCTCTTCAGGCAGCTCATTTTTCTTTTTGTTTTTTTTAGTTTTTTGGTTTCTTTTTTTTTACCCTTCTTCTCTATTCCATTATTATTATTATTATTATTATTATTATTATTATTATTATTATTATACCGTGTGCTCAGCGCCGAATTTCGGATTAGATTGCTATGTAATTTCATTCACTTTTACTGTATATCTCTATATTATTCATTGGCGTGTCTTTTTTTTTCGTTTTGAAATATGAGTGCAGTGAATTGTCGTCAATAAATCAAGCAAAAAGAAAAAGAAAGAATGTATGCAATTCTTCTTTGAACTGTGTCTATGCAGAATTGTGATGTGTACGATATATTCACTTGCTTTTATTTCCTGTGGTTATTTTTTAATTTGAATTTTTTTTTTTTGGATTTTTATTATTATTATTATTCTTTTGCAAATACTGTTTCTTCCTTTTTATTTTTATTTTCATAAGCACTTAGAAGAAATGAGGCCTTTTATGTTTCTCTGTCGTACTTCGCGTAGCACATCCTCCGTTGTTGCTGCGGCCCTCACGTCCTCCCATCGCTTCCACGCCACCGCTGCGCAGGCTGCGGCCTCCTCCTCCTCCTCTTTTTCCTCTACTTCCTCCACTGATGAGGAAAGTAAATCAACACAACAACAACAACAACGAGAAGAAGGAAAACAACAACAACAACAAACGGAAACAGGAGAGAAATCTCAGAACAAAGCGGATGCGCTTGGTGCCCCCACTGCCCCACCTCGTCGCCGCAACATTATTGTTCTGAGCAACACCACGAAGGGAGTGTACATCCACCCCACAAACCACATTGCCTCGTGGTATTGGTTTGTGACGGACTTCCACAAGTGGTTCGTTGGCATTGTCTTTCTCTTCGTCGGCTCGCAGGTCCTCGCGCGGTATCGTGTGGCGAAGCTGCAGACCGTCGTGCAGGCGCAGTTGGGCGAGAACCTCCTCGACCAGCGCACCCGCGATCTCCTCGGCGACATTGAGGGACTCCGCCGCAAGGATCCCGCCCGCCTCGAGCAGGAGGCAAACGTCTATCACGAGCAGTTCTGGCACCGCCGCGCCGTGGCCGCCGCAGAGGCACGGCAGGAAGTGCGTAAAGTGGAACTGCAGCGCGGACTTATGCAGGGAGAGGCGAGGGGAACAGATATGACAGAGTGGCTCGGCGCAAAGGCAAAGGATGATGAGGAAAGAGAAGTAGCACGCCGCACACAAGATTACATTCAGGGATTTCACCAGCATCTCAAGTCAAAACGACTCATTTAGACATGGACAAGCACAAATTGTCTCTTAACACCTACTGGCTTCCTCAGAATTCCTCAGAGAAGGGGATCATGCAAAAACGTTGGTATACGTAGTATATATATATGTGTGTGTGTGTGTGTCTGTATCTCTGTATCTGTATCTCTGTCTAATTATGGACATATGTGAATTTCTCCTTTTTTTTGTATTTTGAATAGATTTTTATCTTTTTCTTTCTTTTTCCTTCTTTTTTTTTCTTGTATTTATTCTCTGTTGCGTATGTATCTGCTCTTATTACCAGCTTAGGGGGAGTAAGTAGAATGGAATTGATGCGTTTTGCAACCTTACTAGGCAACATCGGTGGTTTTACTCTTGGAACCATCGTTCTAGTTGGATGTCTACTATTAATATGGTATAACACAGTATCTACTATTGCAGTTCGTTTTACTGGTGGAAAGGAAGCTACACTTTTGACAGAGATACTGCATTTAGCCACAGGTCTGCAGTCAATACAAGCAATGAATTTAGCGAATGTTGTGTGTTTTGCAATTATGATTCTCCTTGTAGTGCTAGTCAGCCTTCTTGATGAAGCGATGATCATAGTGAAAGAGTCAATTGAAGCAAAAGCAAAACTTCCATCATCTGAAATTGTGAGACACATCAATCACAGTTACGAGCGTGGCTTAGCACGCGGCGGCATCGCACACAAGGCAAAACAGATGAAGAGAGTAGTATAGTTAACCATTGGGTTTTTGATATGTCGTACTCTTTATTTGACAAATGACTTATCTATGCGATATTTATCTGTTTTATATTGCGTGTAAAATGAAACAAAAAAAAGAAGAAAAAAATGAGTGGATAAAGCTATTTTTTTTTTTTTTTAATTTTTATTCTTTTTTTCACGGTAATTATTGCATATATATATATATATATATATATATATATATATTATCCTTTTATTTTGACCGTTATTTCTTTTTTTTTTTTCGTTTTTTTTTTACCCCAGTGGATTTTTTTTGGGGTTTTATATGCATCTGTGATATTGGTTGTGAATACTACACCCCTCCAAAAAAAAAAAATATATATATATATATATATATATATTATTATATAAAGCGAGACTTTTATTAAGATATAGAAGGATTAATCGCTTGATAACAATACCGAAATAATGAAAGCGTCAGCACGACAGTTAGGTGCAAGAAGAGGTTATTTCCTGAACTCTATTTTGCGGCGGCGTTTCGTGCCTCCATGGGAGCGTGATGGTAAATCTGCTGATGAATTTTTCTCTGGACTTATGCAGAGCACCAACCCAGTACAAACATCTCAAAGAAACAAAATGCGTGAAGAGGAGCAAGCAAAGAGAGCTATTGAAGAGGCACCGTTACCAGTTGAAGTGCAGCGTATGGAAGCTATTCATGCCCATAATGAAGATGTGTTAAATCAACGTCGTAATTTTGTACCTTACGGATCTAAACCAGTTGTATATTTTGAAAAGGACCAAATGGCTGCTTTGGGTGAATATGAAACTATGCTGCAGGGAACGAGTGATTCAAGAAATGGTCAGGAAAGTTACTCCCCAGAAGTACGTGAGATGCTTCGGGCGGATTTAAATCAGAAATTACCATATAGGTATGAGTCATTTGTGGAACCACGAGGAAAAGAGTTACAGTGGCCACTTCATGGAACTACTGGTATTGTCCTTGATCTTGACGGCGTGGTTCATCGTTCTAATAAAATTATTGAAGGATCAGATACGGCAATTCGAAAAATTATGCAGTTACGCATTCCACTTTTATTTATGACAAATGGTGGTGGTGTTACTGAGGCAGAGAAGGCTAAACAACTTTCAGAACTTGTTGGATGCGAAATTAGTCCTGATCAAGTACTTCTTTCACATACTCCAATGCAACTACTAGCCCCTATCTATAAAAATCAAAATATACTAGTAGTGGGTTCTCCAAAATGTGTTGATGTGGCAAAATCATACGGATTTTCTCGTCCTATTTCTATGCTTCAGTTTCAAGTAGAACATCCTGAATTGGTACCATATAAAAAATGGGGAAACTTAAAGAAGTGTGAACCTAATACAATTAAATTTCCAGAAATAGCCGCTATTTTTGAATTTTCTGAACCAGATGATTTACTTAGTGATTCACAGGTTATTCTTGATCTTCTTCTTGCCCCACGTGGTCAAATAGGACGTTATGTGTCTAGTACACAAACTATTCCATATTATCTTGGTGCGGATGATTTATTATGGGCTACGGAAGCTTTGTTACCACGTCTTGGTCAAGGCGCCGTACGCGAAATGATCTCGGCGGTCTTTGAAAGTGTCACTGGCAATGGTATGCAAGTGACCACGTATGGAAAACCACGCGCTATTGCCTATGCCTTTGCCGAGCGACGTATGGAAGAAATAACGGCGCGTCTTGGATGGAATCCACAGTCACTTCGTTCTATTTTCATGGTTGGGGATAATCTCGAGACGGACATTGTGGGCGCGAATGCCCGTGGGGGGCGGTGGACGTCTGTGCATGTCCTCTCCGGCATCGGCGCCGCCCCGGCCGCCCGGCGGACCCTCGCGGAGGGCGACGCGGAACTCGAGTGGCTCGAGACGCGCGTGGGGAAGACCCCGCATTACGTCGCCCCCACATTAGACCACTTTGTGCGGGAATTGCTGGCGTTTCCAGAGACCGCCGTGCTGCAGAACAAGAAGCCGTATTATGGGATGCCAAACCCTGTGGATCTGGGCGATACATATAACTTTTTACCACGTTAGGAGTATAAAGAAGCAAATGGGGGAAAAAAAAAGAAAAAAAATGAGGAGAAGGAAAAAGAAGAAGAATGTTTTTTCTTCTTTTATTTCTTTTTTTTTTTTTGTTTTCATTCTTTGTAAAATAATACATTTCCAAACGAAAACGAAAATGAAAAAAAACAATATAACCACAATTCATGTAGATAAAGATGTGTAAAATTCTGTGGATTCTCTTTATTATTATTACTTTTTTTCTTTCCTTTCTTTCTTTTTTTCTTCTACCATTCTATTCATTTTATCCCACTTTATCCTATACACACATCTGTTCACCAAACGTATATTGAAAGCCAATAGCAGCAAACTCCACACATGGTAGACGTGAAGAGTGCGGGGGCGGCACTGCTCCAAAACCCACAATTCATGGAACTCTTCCAACGTGCCTTGGGAGGTGAAGATAAACTGAAGGACATTCCACCGGAAGGAGACCCAGGGCGTGAAAAGTGGCTTCGCGATCTTCAAAAGAAGCTTCAGGAAGAGAATATGAATTCTATGAAGGCTAAATTGGAGGAGGTACATAGTGATGAAAATGGTCAGTGGATGTATATACTCCCAGAGCCTGGGTTTTGTGTTAAGTGTACAACTGCAGGTGGTGGTAAAGTATTTTTAAATGTTTGTCAACATGAACGTATTGCCGAACCTATTCCTATGGAAGATGGTGATGATAGTAGTGATGAAGTAAAATTTAAAATTCCACTTAGTTGTGGACAGGCAAGACCTGATGTAGACAAGAGTGGAAAACCGTGCAAAGTATATGATGTTATTGTGAATCCTTCAACTATTTTACGATGCTCAAAAGATCATGACTTTCGATGCTTTGTAGTATCACTTTGTATTCATTGGATTAAACAAAAGTGTGAACCTACTCTTAACACGGAAGAATACCGAAATATGAATTTTAGAGTAAAAGGAACATTAGAACCGCAACGTATTCGTCTCTCAAATTTACCTAAATCAACAAATGCTATGGGTGATGAGATTCGTCTCCCTCATAATAATAATGCAGCCTCACCTTTAAATACTGTAGGGGGACGCAGTGGAACAGGAAAACTTGTTGAAGAGATAACGACACCTTCACAAGATTCAAAAACAAAAACGACAACAGGAACAGAAGCAGCAACAGCTACTACTACTACTACTACTAGTGGTAATAATACTGTTCCTATTCAGAATGATGCAGTTAAGCCTCATCTTGTAAAGCTTCAAGGTGATGGTTTTTACGACTGGTCAAAGCACGCCAAACCAATGCTTAACCCATATTTTAGAGAGAGTGTTCCTGCCTTTTACCTTGTAGAGGTCTGTATTCCCACAGTGACAACGATTGCAGAAGTAGAAGTTCGCTTAACACCCAAATTAGTGGAATTGTTGTATGTTGATGCAGAAGATGGGGTTCCTTTTCTAACAGTTCCATTAGACTATCCCATAGATGATGACGCACCAAACGCTAAATTTATCCGAAAGACAGGTATGTTAAAGATGAAACTAACAGTAAAATTACCTGATGAAACTTGTGAACCTGCCACAAAGCCAGATCGTGATGTGACAGAAATTGAAGAGGAAGAGAATCGTATAGCTCGTGAAAAACGAGAAGAAGAATTGCGTAAACAACAAGAACGTGTGGAACGGATACGTAAAGAGGAAGAAAATGTCATGCAAGAGCGTCAAAGCTATGTGAAGAATTTAGCTGCTGTACAAGAAGGAGAAATGCCTCCAAGTCTTAAGGAAGAGATGGACAAACTTCCACCAGAACAGCTAAAGATGATGCTTCATCGTTTAGAATCAAAGATTCGAAAGGGAGACTCTATTGATGACATGCTAGAAAAGTTTCCAGATAGCATGATAGGTGCTATCTGTCGGTATATACGTGGGAAACTGGGTCTAGAGCAACGACCTGAAAAGGAAGAAGAAAGTGTAAAGAAACCTCAAGGTGAAACAAAAGTTTGTGAGAATAATAGTGCGAAAAAAGGAGAAATTAAGGAAACTACTGTAGCAACAAACTCTGCAACTGAGACTACAGAGGATGGTGAACGTCTTGAGTACAACTTTGCGAAAAAATCAGAAAAGTTGTTCGGTGTGGCCTTTCACAATCGCTACCTTTTTGCCCTTGATTGAGGCACATTAAAGGTAGGTGGATATTATTATTATTATTATTATTATTCCATCTTTTTTTTTCTTTATTCTTACTATTATTATTGTTGTTTTTACTCTTTATTTCTTTTTTTTTTTTTTTTTTTCATCCCTTTTCTTTTGGAGTGGCGGCATAGTCGGATAAGTGTATCACCTCTATTTTTACAGGATCTCTGATTGTGTTAATCATTAGTGCCACTTTACTTGAGCACCAAAGGAAAATAAGATGAAAAAGTTTAAAGGAAATATCAGCACGGATGGAATGAAGTGATGTAAAGTAAAGATAGAAGAAGAAAATAAAAGAAGAACGAAAAACAACCTTGAAAGGCAAGAAAAAGAAAGGACGAGGGGAAAAAAAAAAGAACAAGTGATGAAAAATCGGTGATTATTAGTCGAGAGTGGAGTTACAAATACTCTGCCATTGACAATCCTTGTTTTGGGGTGGAAATATAATTTCTGTGACAGTTACACACAATTTTTTGTTTATTTGTGTTGTTATTTATTTTATTTGCCTGTTTTTTTTTTTCCTTTTTTCGCTTCTCTCTTTCTTTTTCTCGCTATTGTTTCTTCTTTATTCTTTTTATTTGACTTGTTCTTTCTGTATGACTAGTATGATTATTAAAGAGAGAGAGAAATATGTTACGACGAACATTATGGAGACATGTGCATTTATTTACTGCGCTTGTACCTCTTAACGTTGCCCAAAGTCCGCAGCTCATCAGTGCAGATCATCTTGAGATTGCCAAGAAGGCAGCAACAGAGGCCACACCACTCATTGGAAATGCCCCACTTGTGGATGCACTTAATTTATTAACAGACTTATCAAATATTCGAAAACAGCGTGAGGCTGATCAACTTTTGGAAGATTGTCTTACATCCTACCGTGGTGAATTATATAAATCTTCTGTAACGGATCCATTTCAGCGATTGCAATTACATGAGGCAATAATGGCTGTTGGATTTTATCTACGAAGTGGAAATCCTAATGTACTTAAAGGTGAAAATACAAGGTTTGTGTTACATCATTATAATTTTGATGTACGCCGTGATACAGCAATTACACGTACTGTTCATCACACTCTATTAGAGAGTCTTTCATCTACACCAGATTCCGATAAACTTCTTGGAGATTTATTACTATTAGAACGACGATTATTTGGTCGATTACGTTTTCTTCCAACAGCGGGACGGCAGTGGTTTGTATTAGGACTTCCTTTAGAAGAAATCAAAACAGAGGAGGATATTCACCGTGTACTTGATATACCAGTAGTAAAGGAATTTGGTAACTTTGAATTAAAAGAAAAAGATTCTGAAAAACTTTGGAAGTTAGTAACAGTGCGTCCCAAATCTGAAAACTCTCCTAGTTTTCTGGAAGAAGGTGAATTTACAATGCATCATATGGAAAAAGATTTGGAATTGATCCGTCGAATTCAAAAACCGCAACCCCCAATGGAATTTTGGGATCGCGTAAAAGATACCTTGTTGCGTTATTGGGTTATTTGGTTCTCCTTATGGATTATGTTCTTTATGGTGGATGAGGAAATCATTACAGTTGTTGCTCTAATATTTCTAAAGTGGCGACAAACGAAAATACTTGAAGAAGAGGCTGAAAGGAGTGGTGGTAAGGTATATATAGCATCCTCTACTGGACGTTCAAGGACAAACAACTAACGACTTGATGATGATGATATGGCATGAAATCTTAATTTGATGAGTTTTATTTTTATTTTTATTTTTTTGTCTTTACTACTATTTTTTTTTTTTTTTTGTTGTTGTTTATAGGTGGATTATGAGACTTGCTCTGGTTGTTGTTGTTGGTATATATATGTATATGTATTATATACTTTTTCTTTCTCTATTTTGTATGTGTGTTTTATCTCGGAAATGATTGTGTATATAAATATGAGTCACCCAAAAACAAAGGAGAATAAAAATTTATTTATACATGTATAAATTGTTTTTTTGTATTTGAGTATAGAAACTGTGTAAATGTGTGTTGCTTTATATATATATATATATATTTCACATTGATACGTTATTATCTCTTTCTTTCTTTTTTTTTTTTTAATTATTAGTTATTCTCTTCTTTACAAGACCTATATACTTCTATTAATCCTTTCTGTTGTGTTTTGGGGGTGACACAAAAAGGGAACGAAGAAGGAAGAGCACTTGAAAAGAGTCGTTTAGTTACTTAATTATATATATATATATATATATATATATATATATATTTATTATTACTATTTATATTTATTTATAGGCTTTTTAAAAGAAAAGAAGAATAAGGGGAGGGAACATGGCAAGAAGAGAATGCTTTCGATGTTCATGTACGAGAATCGTCGTTTTTCTTGTATTTTTCCTCATAACATCAGCATTCATTCCTGCTGCTTTAGACTGGGCGTTAGTTCGAGGTCGTACCCCTCTTCAAGCAATCCTCACACGTATGAATCCTCATTTCATTCATGTGGATGTAAATGCTCCTACAGAAGGATATTATAGACTTTGGCGATATCATGATTTTAGTGCAGATTCGTATCGTCAACCTAGAGAATCTGAAATTCCTTCTATTCCTGTCGTTTATGTTCATGGAAATGCTGGAAGTTTTCAAGATATGCGTTCCATAGGTCGATTTGTTGGAGAAGCAAATGTGAATGAACGCCGTCGTCGCATTTTAGAATTTGAAGATAATGTCAAAATGAAATTATTTGGTCTTTACAAAAGTGAAGGACGTCAAATGCCAAAAGATGGAGAAGAAATTCCTCATGATCTTCAAAGGAAAGCAGAAGATATGGTAATAGCTAATACCCCTATTTTAGGAGTAGAACTCTTTGGTATAGATTTCTTAGAAGAGTCTAATACACAAAGTAGTATATTATTATTAAAAGAGGCTCGATTTTTAAATCACAGTATGCATCGACTTATGCAACAATTTTTAAATCACTATGAGACTGTATTGAAGCAACCTAAAGGAAGTATAAGAAGAGAAACGGGTAAAAACGACTCTAATTTGAAAGTTGTGGTTGAAGCTGAAACGGATTATATTATGAGTCTATGTTCACGTGCATCTCATATACAGAAAGGTAACTCTGCGTGTATTGCTGCTAAAAAACAAATTCGTGTCTTCTCCTCTGTGGAGCGACTACGTCGCGAGGTGGAGCGGGTGCGGCGAGATGGACTGTGGGTGTGGACGGAGTCGTTGGGGGGCCTCGTGGCGCTCTTCGCCACTCTCTTCGCCCCGGAGTTGTACGCCGGTTTGGTGATGGCCGGATCCCCGACCCGCTACCCGCCGCTTCTCTTCGACAGCAGCTGCGTGCAATTCCAGCGGGTCATCCACGACGCCGCCCTCCCCTCTCCGTCTCTTTCGCTTAATTCCTCTTCTTCGGTTTCTTCGCAGTGGCCACAACTCCACGCGACGGGCGGTCCTCATAAATTTCTCGCGGAGGTCGCGGCCGCATCGCCAGCAGTCATCGCCTCGCGAGTCGCCCGCATCGCACTTTTGAATGTCAACGGCGGCGCCCTCGAGGACGTCGTCCCCCCGCGGAGCTCCGCGTTGATGCGCACCGCCGGCCGCAGCGCCGCCTCCGCCGAACACAAACGACGACGAAACGAAGCGCCACCGCCCGCCCGCCGCCGCGATATTTCAACGGAGGAACTGCGCGGCTGCGGGACGCCACTCACACACCGCGGACTCGTCTACGCACGACAGTTGTTGGATGTCGCCGCCCACTCACTCGTGCAGGCCGCACTCTCCCCACACTCTGGGGAACTCTTGGGGAGTGAACCCACCCTCACAGACACAAGGGAGAGGTTGTTTCCCACCATAGTGGAGACACTTCCTGAAGCCCAGGATATATACAGACGTGAGGAGTTTTACTTTAGTCAGACACTTAGAAAAATAACTGAAACAGGTTCTTATCGTAAAGAGAATAATACGTATGCAGAAAGTAAATTTAAATCTATTTGTGTAGATGGATCAACTTTGGTAAATATACAAGACATTCCTATAAATGAGGATCCTGATACCGAATCTTGGCATGCACTACATCTTTTTATTGGTGCTACAACTTATCAACCTGAGGATGTATTATTACCAGAATTACATTTAATGCATGTAAAAGAAGAAAAATTAGTACCTTATACAAATATTCACTCACGTGCTGCTACAAAATTACACCTTCCTAAACGTAGAAAGGATAGTGTACCTATTGAAGGAAGTGTTTTAAACACAGCGGTTAGTTTTCAGGTTCTTCGAAAAAATAATGAGAATTCACCAATTTGGGTACGTCCACGTTTTTGTTTCGTAGTTGAAGGAACAAAAATTTCAAATCGTCATTTTTCTTATATACAGCATGATTTAATTGATCCATTACATGAAATTTCAACTGCTAATGACCATCAAGCAGCTATCAACTCACAACAAAGTGAAAAATTATCTTTAGAGAATCATAATAGATTTACAATTATTCGAAATGTAGATAGTATGATGTTGGAAACAAATATGTTTGTAGGTGTAAATAATAGGGTTATATTTCCTCATGTAATTTGTGGATCATTTCGTTCTTTTCGTGTAGCATTTCGTGGTACGGAAGAATTGGCAATTGATGAACCAGAATCTCAGTTACAGTATTTTTATGGACCATATGAAGAAGATCGTCATATTTTTCATTATAGTTGGCGTCCATTTCATGAAACACCTTCTAATAGTTCAAATCTTTATTTAGTGTACGTATTATCAAATGAAGAAAACCCTAATATTCGTCTTTATGACTTTGAAAGGTATGAAAATCCTTCATGGAGTGATTTTAACTACTTAGACTGGTGGATTAGACAGTGGACAATGCGTTGGATGGCTGTATTAGCTACCTATTCTCTTTCTGGAAGGTATGCAGGTTGTTATGTGCTTGTTTTTTTAACCTTATACACCGTATTCTATACTACTACTTTTCTTGGAAATAGTGCATCATCTAAGGGATTTTTACGAAGGATACGTACGGTAAGTCCAGTAGCTCTTGTTTTGATTACTGGTGTTTTATTAGAATGTTTTGGAAATTCTTTGGCAAAAAATACGTTATCTATTTGTCTTAGTGAAGAACTTCCCATGTTAAGTGATGAAGGTCTCACATCCATGATGAGTTTAACTGAAAAATTGACATTGATTTTCCTCTACGCACTTCCTCCAAGATATGAAGCTTGTAAATATTCTTGGATACGTATGCAAACAGTTGCTCCAGACAATTTACTTTTTGAACATATTATGCATATGATATGTGCATTCTGTTTTGCTACCATTTTAATTATGATTGAATTTGGTATACATTGTCTTTTATGGCCTGTTTCATATATAACTCATTTTATCTTTAAATCCTGTAGAGCAGAGATAATAAGAAAAATAGGAGTTTGTATTATGATAATATTATGGTGTATTCCAATTTCTTTGCTTTTCTTTATACCATGGTTGCACATTTCCCTTATTATTACATTAACTTGTTTATTTGCATACAGTGCGATATGGTTTATTCCTCGTGAAGTACAGATTGCTAATGGTCCACATTATCGTTGGATATGTTTTGTGTTAACTATGATACTTCATTTAACAGCACATTTTCAAGGACTTGTACTTACGGTGCGAAACTATTTCATTGTACCATCTATTGTGCTAAAGGACAGTGAAAGGTTTGAACCAAGTACAGAAGAGTTATTAACATTTGCAGTGGTTCAGTGTGGTTTGATTGTTGTCTACGGTACAGTGTATCTTACCAGGCGTCATTACACCGGAGTAGAGAGTTACACCAATGTAAAAAAGAAGGAAATGAAAAAACAAAATATAGTGATGATGATGAAAGAAGTGGAAAGAGAGAAAATGGATGTACAGAATTCAAGAGATGATAATGAAAATGAAAATGAAAATAAACCATCTTTTTATGTGCTAGGTGATATCAACCGTCAACATGCTCGATTTAAACGGTTGATTAAAACACTACGGTTTATTTTGTGTTTGGCTTCTTTGTGGGTTTGTATGATTTCTGTTCGCCGACCACTTGAGGGTTCCATCGCCACTGTTGGATTGTGCCTCACAGGAACATACATTACACTGACGTTGCTTCAATTGTGGTAAAAAGAGAAGGGGAAAAAGAAGAAAAAAAAAAAGAAAAAAGAATGAGTAAGATATTCTGAATGAAACAGAGTCAAGATTTCTTGGTGTAATGTTATTCTACTTGTTTCTTTTTTTTTTTTTCTATCTCTACTTTTGTTATCCACTTTTTTTTTTTGTTTTTGGATTATCTGATGCTCACTATAAATACTTTACTTCCTTCTTTGCATTTGAATCTCTTACGTATAATACACCCTTTCCCTTCTCCCTTCTACGGAGAAATGTGCCAACATGACTGAATATTCTCTCTTTTTTTTTTTGGACTTTCTCAGTCCTTTGATATTTATACTGTACCGTAAACTGTTTTTTTTTTTCTTTTTGTCTTTTTTCTCTTCCCATTTATTTCCTTCCTCTTTTTATTTCTTTCCCTCTTTGTCTATTTTCCCTTTATTCTTATTATTATTATTTCTATATGTATGCAGTGAAGTTGAGACAATGCCTCCTGTGCATGAGGAATGGCGAATGTTGGAGAGCGGCGCAAAGACCGGGTGGCTCTTCAATTATCATCCAACAACAGTGATGGCAACAGAAGAGTCATCTGTGGAGCGTCAGGGAAGTTCAGTGGCCCGGGCAGCACTTGTACTTCTCTTTCAAGATCATGAGGGGGAAATATTTTACGTGAATCTCTTTTATAATCCTTACTTTTTTATTTCTGTTGTGGAGGGACATGAACATGAGGTGGAGCTTGGTTTAATGTCACTCTTTGGCCCACAATTAATATTTCACATTGAAACCATAGAAAAAGAAGATTTGGATCTTATTAATCATTTAAGTGGACGTAAACGTTTATATCTCAAAGTAGTCTTTCGAAGTGTACAAGACTTAACAACTGTTCGTGGTCGATTAGATAAAATTGTAAAAAGAAATGCTTCTATGGGAGCTTTAAACCCACTTTTAAATCCTTTTGATGGATCTCTTGGAGATATAATGGCAAAACCATTTGAAGAGGATGTCTTAAACAGTAATGTTTCTTCCGATCGTTGGTTTGATTGGGTACATGAAATGCGTGAATATGATGTTAAGTATCATATGCGTGTGGCGATTGATCTTGGGGTTTTTGTTGGATTATGGTATGATGTTACCGTACGTGAAGGTGAGGCACAAGTCACTCGTTGTGATGATAGTGCGTATGCACCGGCAATGCCTCGTATATGTGCTTTTGATATTGAAACAACAAAAGCTCCACTTAAATTTCCACAACCGGAAGTAGATCAGATTTATATGATATCTTATATGTTAGATGGTCGTGGATATCTTATTGTAAATCGTGAAATAGTGACGATGGATATTCATCCTTTTGAATATACACCCAAACCAGAATATGAAGGTATATTTGAAACTTTTAATGAAGTTGATGAAAAATCTCTTTTACGACGGTTTTATGATGAAATGCGAAAATATCAACCTAATGTGTATGTGACTTACAATGGTGATTATTTTGATTTTCCATTTATTCATGCACGTTCAATTTTTCATAAATTAAGTATGCGAGAAGAAATTGGTTTTACACAAAGTACGGATGGAGCTTTCTTAAATCAAAAAATTCCACATATTGATTGTTTTTATTGGGTTAAACGAGATAGTTACTTACCTCAGGGAAGTCAAGGACTTAAATCGGTAACAAAATACAAACTTGGTTATAATCCTATTGAAGTAGATCCAGAAGATATGCTTCCATTAGCACAAACAAATCCACAACAAATGGCATCTTATTCTGTATCTGATGCTGTGGCAACATGGTATCTTTATCAGAAATATGTTCATCCATTTATTTATTCACTTTCAACAATTATTCCAATGTCACCAGATGATGTGTTACGTAAAGGATCTGGTGGTCTTTGTGAATCTTTATTAATGGTACAAGCTCAGGCAAATAATGTTATATTTCCAAATAAAAAGGAACAACAATTGGAAAAATTTTTTAATGGTCATCTTATTGATAGTGAAACATATATTGGAGGTCGTGTAGAGGCTCTTCGTAGTGGAGTTTATCGTAGTGATATTCCTCTTAGTTTTAATATGAGTCCTGATATGTATCAAAAACTTATTGATGATCTTGATAGTGCCTTAGAGTTTGCCTTGGAGGTTGAAAATGGTGTAAAGATGAATGAAGTAACGAATTATGAAGAAATACGTGAAAAGATAAAAGAAAAATTAGGCTATTTAAGAGATAATCCACGTCAAGAGTCTGATCCTATTATTTATCATCTTGATGTTGGTGCCATGTATCCTAATATTATTCTTACCAATCGTTTACAACCATATGCTATTCCAAAATCTGATGTCTGTGCAGGTTGTTGTTTTAATACACCTAATAATGAACATCTTTGTAAACGGCCAATGACTTGGAAATGGAGAGGTGAATTACTTACGGCTGGTCGTCATGAATATCAGAGAATAAAGGCACAATTGGAAAATGAATCTTTTGCAGCTAATGCTATTGAGCAAGCAAATTTATCGGCAGTTCAAAAAAAAACATATGGAAATCGTAAAGGGAATGTATTGGAAGGAACAACATTTGAGAGGAAACAGTCCATGTCTTTTAAACAACGAAATAATAATTTTGGAGGATCAAATGGTGTTGGTGGTGGTGGTGGTGGTGGATATAGACATGAAAGTAAGTTTCAGAAACAAGAATCAAAGAATGCATTATTATCTAAAGAATATTCAAAGAAAAAAGATGAAAATGATAGTGATGATGATAACAATAATGATAGTGATGATGGTGAAGAAGGTGGACTTAAAGCATATCATAAACTTCAAGAGTCTACAAAGTTTAATATGTTAAAAAAGCGTCTCTCTGAGTATAGTAGAAAAGCTTATGGAAAAATACATGAATCTCGTGAAATTATGCGAAGTGATGTGGTATGTCAACGTGAAAATTCTTTTTATGTTGATACCGTACGTTTATTTCGTGATCGTCGATATGAATATAAATCAGCTCTTAAGACATGGAAAAAACGATTAGATGCTGCTAAAGATGTGGATGAGGTAAAATTATGTAAAAGTCGTTGTGTACAGATGGAATCACTTCAATTAGCACATAAGTGTATTTTAAATTCTTTCTATGGATATGTGATGCGTAAAGGAAGTCGTTGGTATAGTATGGAAATGGCTGGTATTGTAACCTATCTAGGTGCTACTCTTATTCAAATGGCTCGTGCTCTTATTGAACAAATTGGTGTAACGCTTGAACTAGATACGGATGGTATTTGGTGTTGTCTTCCAAATAGTTTTCCAGAAAATTTTACCTTTACAACATCTAATCCATCTAAAGCCAAGGTATCTATTTCTTATCCTTGTGTTGTTCTTAACAAGATGGTACATGATGGTTATTCAAATCATCAATATCAAACATGTATTTCTCCAGGTGTGTATGAACGTCGTAGTGAATGTTCTATTTACTTTGAAGTGGATGGACCTTATTTAGCCATGTTACTTCCAGCAAGTCGTGAAGAAGGTAAAAGTATAAAAAAACGTTATGCTGTTTTTAACCCGGATGGAAGTCTTGCAGAATTAAAAGGATTTGAATTAAAAAGACGTGGTGAACTTATGCTTATTAAAGATTTTCAATCTCAAGTATTTCGTCGTTTCCTTGATGGTAAATCTCTATCCGAGTCCTACGCATCTGCAGCTGTGGTAGCGAATGCCGCTCTAGACATGTTGTATACAAAAGGTGAAGGATATGAAACGGAAGAAATATTAGAGAAATTATCAGAGAGTAGTAATATGACCAGACGCCTTTCAGAATACCCGGAATCACAGAAATCATTAGCCTTAACAACAGCCAGACGAATTGCAGAGTTTTTAGGACCACAAATGGTAAAAGATAAGGGACTTGCCTGTCATTTTGTGATCTCTCGTCTCCCATCTGGTAGACCCGTAACAGAGCGACCGATTCCCCTTACTATTTTTCGTGCTGACCCAACACTACGTTCACACTTTCTTAGAAAATGGACAGGTGATAACTCACTTCCTGTTGATGCTGATTTACGACACTTATTAGATTGGGATTACTATATTACTCGTTTTAATGCTTGTGTACAAAAAATTATTACAATTCCAGCAGCTTTACAACATGTTCCTAATCCAGTACCACGAGTACCTTATCCAGATTGGCTACATAAACGTGTTCAACAACGAAGTTCTAGATTTCGTCAAATAAGTCTTAAAGGAATGTTTTCTCAAGTTAAGGAAGCGAATGAAGGTAATATTACAGATGTTGAGGAACTTGTAGCAGATGATAATAATAATATTAATAGGAAAGAACTTGGTAAAGTGGATAGAGAAAATAAAAACAGAGAAGATGGTAAATATTCTGATAAAGAAGATGATAGTGATTGGTGTGATGATGTTGATGATGATGCATCAGAAAATGAAGCAGATCACATACGTCAGGAAGAAGAAAAAGAAGCAGAAGCACGTGCAGAAGCGGCAGTAACTGAACTTAAAACGAAATATTTCTCTCCAAAAAATACCCAAGTACTTGATGCCGCATTTTTTGCTTCTCCTGGTGTTTCATTATGGTTACAGCAACAAAAACAAGCATGGATACATCGGGCAAAATTACGTCGTGAAATGATTTCAGATTCTAATAATCATAATCATAATAATAATCATCAATTATCTGGAGATGGTGGGGTTGGTATGAATAATAATCACTTCTTTGACGTTAAGTCTAAAGCGCTTTCTACGGCATGGCATATTCTGGAAGTACGACCAGAAAAAAAAGAAACAGGTATGGTAATAATAATTGCAGCACTTGAAAAAACACTCTATACATTTAGGTGTATTGTTCCTAGGTTTGTTATTGTGGATGCTGAACCACAGTTTAATGCTCCTAATGCTAAGGTATTGAATAATGGACGAGTACTTCCAAGAGGAAGAAGCGCAAAACGTTTACTAGAGGTAGAAATACCTCCAGGAAATGAAGGGGAACGAATGCTTAATGAACTTTTATGTGCCCGAGAAGATATTCTTGCTCTATATGAAAATCATATTACTCTTGAGGAAACTTTAATTGAAAAAATTGGTTGTTGTGCAATGGTAAAAGCAGATACTCATTTAAATAATATTCAACGACGTTCTTCTATGAGAGGAGATGTATTTGAAATACAAGAATTAGAAAGTTTAACGACTACAAATTACCTTCAAAATTGTAATGATCGATTTGTTTTTGTATTTCATGCTTCTTCTGACACTCGTGGTATGTTGGGAGTGGTTAATCGTCATGCAAAAACTGCTGTGGTTATTATTATACAACCAGCATCTGCACATATACCTTCAATAAACTGGGATACACTATTTTTAGAAACGGCAAAGTCTCTAAATACGACTGCAGAATCTATTCAAGTTGTGATGGAAGTTGCACCAGATATTTCCACAGCATGGAAGCATATATATCGTGTTCTTAGTGAAATCTTAGAGAGTGGCAAATCTCCTTTGTTTGCAGTGGTACAGAGTAGTCTATCTACTCCATATCTCCTTGAACATCGTTATTTACCCCAATCTCTTCCATATCTTCGTGTACTTGGGGCGTCTGAGGACGAGCGGCTTCTCGTGGATCCCTTCCGCTGGACGCGGCTGCTGGCGCGACGTCTTGTGCAGCGCTACGGGGCATCGCTGCTGTGGGTGGAGGAGCGCCTCGCCTTCAGCCGCGTCTCCGGCGTGCCGCTCTGCAATCTCGCCCACGACACGTGCGTGCATGTGTGGGACGTTCTCTTCGCCCGCGCCCTCCACGCCCGCAGCCACGTGCTGTGGGACCCGCGCGCCCCGGCCGTCGCCTGCGAGGCCGCAGAGGAGAGGCCCCGGCGGGTCGTTCTCCCCGGCGGGTACGTCTCGTGGGCCGTCGAGTTCTCACTCGCCAGACTAGACGTTGTGGCGCTCCTCTTTGCACAGACAATAGAGGAGGGAGACGATCCAAACACACACACACTATGCGATCGAGGGGTCACATCACATTTTAATATACTCCGAGACGTCGTTGCCGATGTACTCGGGCGGGTGGCTACGAATAATGTCGCAGACGCCCTCCTTGCAGGATTCCCACGTTGGATTCGAGACCCAGCCGCACGTGTATATGAACCACGATTGCTGGAGCTCGTCAGTAAACTCGCCCATCGTGCACTTACGGCGGTTCTCATTCGACTGGCAAAACTTGGAGGACGGACAGTAAAAGTAGATGGTGATTCCATCGTTGTATTGACTCCAAAACATACTATACAGGATGCAATTAGCTTTGGTAAATTTTTAGTAGATTCTTTGCAAGATCAACCCATGATGTTACTACTATCTCTTCAACCTATTCGTTACTGGTGTCCCTTTGTTGTACTTGACAAGCAAGACTTTGCGTGTCTTTGTATATCTAGTGAGAATGCTATACGTATGCAAAACCATGAACATATTTCAGTTGAAGAAATGGAATTAGAATTAGCACTCACAATATGGAGTAAACTACCAAAAAAAGTGAAAAATATTTTTATGCACCGTATAGAAAAAACATTAAAGTTAATATCCGAAATTCGTTTTTCTGTTTTGCATGATGTTCAGGTTGATCCTACCATTGTACTTGCTACAAGGAGTGAACAAATTCTTTTGCGGATTGTAAAAAATTTTAAGTCAGCAATTGAGCACAAAGTACATGCAGAACTCATAGATGAAGTTCATGTCCTCATGGAACGTAAAGATCTTTATGAGGAAAAAGAATTGCCAAATGGTGAGAATCCTTTACCTAGTGGAGCTGTGGCCCTCGAGTACACCAAATCTATTTGCCGTTTCCTTGATTTATTTCCAAATGAAGGATCAGTGGGTAAAATGCGTAATAATTGTTTGCGTCTATGTGGAGTGAGTCCATTTTCTCAATTGGCACAGATTACTCCAGATGTTGATGCTGAATGCCGTTTGCTTATGGTAAGGTGCAGTTTTTGTAACCTGGACTTCTTTATTAACCTTGGTGAACAGGAAAAACGGTTTCGTTGTAACAAGTGTCAAGCCCCTATTTCTGAAGCGTCTGTAGAATCTCATTTGGTACGTCGTGTTAATGCCATAGTTACAAACTACCTGCAGCAAGACTTTACTTGCAGTAAGTGTCATGAAGTTGCGTCAACTTTTATGAGTCAAAGCTGTTGTGGGCCTCTTGTAGGCAAAGGGAAACCAATTACAAATCAGCTACAAGCGTTAAAAAAGATTGCTCTAATTCAGGGATTCAATTGGTTAAAGGAAGCCGTAGATGCGGCCCTGTGTTATTCTTAAAAAAAAAAAAAAACATACTTGTGAAGAAGTGAGTGGGGTTGGAAATGGGATTGCTTTGTATTTGGTGAAATGACATAGAATAAACTATATTGCTACATAGAAAGAAGCATCATACACGGTTAATAACGAGACTGTAGTCACGAAAAGAATAGAAGAAGAAAAAAAATAATAATAACCCAATTTTTATTTATTTATTTATTCATTCTCTTAAAAACTGAACCACATGCACATGTAAAAAAAAATATATATATATATATATATATATATATATATACATTTTTAATCATATTTTTCTTTTATTTTTTAATTATTCTTAACTGTACAACTACCATTTTAGCCACAAAAAAAGGCCTGGTAATTTTGGGGCCGAGAGAGGCCGTGTAATCGCTTTGGGTTTACGTTTAGGCGGTTTTGTGTATTTGTCAGGCCTTTTTATTTTTAGATGATGCTGAATGTGACGCAGTTGCTCTTCATGCGGCCTCGGCACATCATGTTTACACCTCCTCCTCTCTCCAGGAGAAGAGGAATGTTTCGATGTCGTCTGTGCCGCAACGAGTGGAGCTCCTCCAATGTCTGGGTAACAAGGACCACGCAGCGCGTTTATCAGGGTGAATCCTGTGATGAATGTGGCACAACAACAAAGCCGTATTACGTTGGACGGCCGGAGGAGACTATTTTTAATCGTGTGAAAACACCACACCCTGTGAA